AGACACATCACACCTGGGAGAGAAGCGGCACGGCGTCGGCTACCTGAGCGAGCTCGAGTGAGGCGCATGCCAGCCGCGTGCGAGGGTGCCCGCGGGGTTGTCCCAACGGCTTGCCTCCGCGGCGACAGCCCGCTGCATCCTTGAGGAGTTGTTCCGGCAGGTTGCGCGTTGATGGCTGTCTTGAGCGCGCTCGCGCGCTGCTGCCCCGAGGAGTTGTTCCGACGGGCAGCGCGCTCGCTGAATGCATTGCCGCCGAGCCTTCGCTGCCCCTCCCCCCTTGCCGCCCGCTTGTGGACTTCGCCTTTCAAACGTCTGCCCGAGGGGTTGTCCCGACGGCGTATGCGTTTTTGTATATCCTCTCGCTCTCGTCGCCACCCATGCGCTGTTTCGCTGCCCCGCTCCTTCACGCCTCAGGCCCGATGGGTTGTCCTGACGGCATCTGCAGCAGAGACCAGGAGAGAGCCGGATACAATAGCAAATGCCAGCAAAAACCAACGCGGAGCGGCAAAGAGCATGAAAGAGCAGCTGAGATCAACCGAGAGCAGCAGACAACAGCATGGAACAGTAGAGAGCAGCGGGAAGCAGGAGGGAGCGGGAGAGACCAGGACAGACCAGTTGAGGCCAGCAGCTGGCCAGCTGACACCGTTGTGGTTGAGGTCTTGTTTGATAGTTTCGATCGTTTCTGTGTTTTCTGGGAGCCTCCGGAGCTCCCAGGGGTATCTTGACGTCAGGCACCGGGTAACAGCCCAGAGCAGCAGGGAGCGGCATAATGCAGCAACCAACAGCGAAGACCTGCAGGGCGCAGCAGAGAGTAGCAGAGAGCAGCAGACAACAACAGGCAACAACAGAGAACAGCGGAGACTGGGGGTGTGATGGGCTTGTGATGGGCTCAAATGGGTTTGTTTCCGTCGCCGTTGTGATGGGCTCAAATGGGGAGATTCGTGTGGGTCTCGTTGCCAGAGCAGCAAGCAGTCGCGGTGCGCCTGCGTCTCGCCCGCCATGCCTTTCGAGATGGGTGACACCACCGTGCTCGTTCTGTTCGTCGCTGTGCATAAGGATGACCAGCCCGCCGTTGAGCACGGGGCGCAGATTCCACGGCGTTTGATGGGGTCCACTCCGTGCGTTGGTTTCCGCACGTCGCCGACGCAGGCCATGGAGCGCGCTCGCATAGTGCAGCAGAGGAGTGGCGCTTTTGTCTCAAAGGTGAAGCACGTGCTGCTACAGGTGGAGTTCAGCGCCCGCGCTCTCGCGGACCTCACCGTGACGCCCGCCGCCAGGGAGTGCGCCTTCGCGCCAATGCTGCACAAGGTGGTGCATCGGTCCGATGGAGAGACTGACTGGGGAGTCTGGCATTACTGCGGCGATTTCCCACTGGGGCTCTCTGGGATTCGCCATTGCTGGCGGGAGATAGTGATCTGGAAACGCTTGTTCGCAGGTCGCTACTCGGCCGAGGGGTTGTCCCGACGCTTTTTTTCTCCACCTGCACAGCGCGCTGTCTTGCTTCCGGCGGCATAGACCCCTTTGCTACGTCTCTCGCCTGAGGGGTTGTCCCGACGGCAGTATTCACGGTCTGAGTGTCTCGCCAATGCATCCAGTGTTTGAGTCGGCAAAGCAAATGGGGCTCCTGCGCGCCCTCCCACCCGCCACTGTCATATCCGTTGCCTGTCCCGTTTAATCGAGGTCTCCGCTCCCTCGTGGTTGTCGATTCCGCCGATTGACATCTGACACGAGGGTTTCCGCCGGACCCGCTCACCACCATGTTATTATGGTTTTCTGATTCGGATACTAACGTCTTTTCGGGGGAGCCGTCTTCGTTGTGCTCTGGTGCATTCGTGCCGTCTCGAGTATGCACGCACGCGCAGCCGCGCGCCTCACGTCTCGATATTATTCGACTGATCGAGAAGGATGGGACAGGAAAGTGAGAGCTGGGGGCCCCTGTCAGCCTCGACCCCGTGCCAGAGCTTCCGCAGCGCATTTGGCTCAGGCATCTTGTGGCCAGCGCCCCCGTTCCATCTCAGTCCGGCGTTGCCGCTGACCATGGCGGACAGCAAGCTCGCTCTGTCTCCGCGAGAGTTCTCTGGCGATCCCGCCACGTGCGTCTTCGGGCGCGTCGTCATCAAGCGAGGCCCGGTGGAAGTGGGCAACCAAGCGGATGGGAAGGGCAAGGGCAAGGCCAAGGGCAAACGCGCTGGAAAGGACAGAGAGCCGGGGAGGAAGATCGAAGTGCACATGCTCGGCGGTGACACTGTGGGCGACGTCCTGTTCCTTGACGGATGGGCAGACGCCGCCGCCCAAGTTCATGCCGCCATGGAGCTGGGCAGGGTCTACCGCGTGTCCGGCGGGACCGTCGTGAACCAGACCCCGAAGTACTCCACTTCTCGGCTGTCGTACTTCTTGCGGGTAAAGCCGCCCTTGGGAGTCAACACGGTCATCCAGGAGTGCACCGAAAGCCCGTGGGTGGACGTTCCCCTGCATCACCCGTTCGCGGAGATTGCCAGCTTGGGCAGAGTGACCGATACAACGCAGGTGTGCGCGGTCGGCGTCGTGTCTCACCAGCCGGGCGTCGTGGAGCGCGACACCCAGCACGGCCGAGCAGGCGTCTGCAACGCGGTGATCAAGCAGGGGCGCCACGACATCCGCTGCGCATTCTGGCGAGACCATGCCGCGACTCTGGCCGCCTTCCCCGTCGGCTCCGTGATCGCGCTGATGCAAGTGAATGTGAAGCAGCGCAACGGGTCCTGGGAGATCTTCGCCACGGAGGCCACGGAGGTCACGACTTGTCCTGCAGCTCAAGCGGAGACTGTTCGCGCCGCGACTGACATCTCCGAGGGTGCCGACGCGGCCGCGTCCCTCACCAAGCAGCACCATGCCGTGGACTACGACACGGTGCCCGCCATGGCGAGCACGGTGAGTGGCCTCATGTCGGTGCCCGTGCCTTTCCAGACGCGCGACCTGCCTGGGGTCTTCGAGCTCCACTGCGTCGCCGTCACGGGCGTGGCAGGTGCTTCCGCCGACAGCGACTGGCAGATCAGAGCTGCGCAGAGTGCAAGAAGAAGATTCCCGACCACCAGGACACGTGTGGCAGCCACCCCGAAGCGGGAACTGAGATGCGGTGGCTCCTGAAGCTGGGCATCGCGGACCACACCGGCGGAGGCTCCGCCGTCCTGTACCACGACGCAGCGTCCACCCTCGACGTGCTCGGCGATTCGGGCACGCCCCTGGACGCCCAGGCTCGCCGCGTGCGCGCTGCGGCATTTCGGGCGACGCCGTGGACGCTGCGGTGCGTGTTCAAGACAAACGATGTCACCAATGTCAACTACCTCGAGGTGAAGCGGATTGTCCCGACGCTGACGCCCGACGGCGTCGTGTCGACGTGGTCGGAGGTGACGGCGCCGCCGGCGGTGAAGACGGGCGGCGCCTGCCCGTTCGCGGCGTGCTCGGACGTCAGCTCGGACGACTCGCTCGGCTTGCTGCTCGTCCGTGACCTGGAGGTCCAGGCGGTCCGCGTGTTGCTGGTGATGCAGAGGCCCACGGAAGCGGAGACGGTGGCCACACCCGACGCAGAGAATCGCGGCCTGCGCGTGCAGCGCCTCGCGCGCTGCGGGTTCCAGTCTGAAAAGGAAGACACGTATTGCGTTAAGACGGCCGGTGTCGCCGGCGACGTGCAGTGGCTCCTGACGGCCGGGCACGGCGACGCGCACCTCGTGACTGCCATGCTGCGGACAGATAAGGGCTCCGGCCGCGGGACGTTCGATGTGCTGTCGCACAAGGCCGTGGTCCCCGAGCTCTTGCCCAGCATGGTCAAGCTCATGGCCAGCGCGCAGGGGTCCGGCGGCCCGGCGCTCATCGCGCACGCGCCCGACGCCACGCCGCTCAAGCGCATGCGGGACCTCGCCTTCTCGCCCCCCGACGCTGCGTCAACGCCATCATCCCTGGCGACGCGTCGCCGACTGGAGTGAGAGCTCGCGCGCGAGCCGCAGCCGTGCCTGCGGGGATGTCCCAACGGCGCGCTCTGGCACTGGCGCGAGCCCGCGCTGACTCGGCTGACGCTGCGCCGTCTTGCGAGGGCGCCCGCGACGCAGTGCCCATCGCCGCTTGTCTCGCCTGAGGGGTTGTCCCGACGGTATTGAGTATTGATTTTACACTTTGTCTCTCCCTTCTGTCGCCGCCCCAGCCGCGCCCGCGGGGTTGCCCCAACGGCGCGCGCTGGCACTGGCGCGAGTTCGCGCTGACTCGGCTGACCCTGCGCCGTCTCGCGAGGGCGCCCGTGACACAGCGCCCATCGCCGCTGGTCTCGCCTGAGGGGTTGTCCCGACGGTATTGATTTTGCACTTTGTCTCTCCCTTCTGTCGCCGCCCTCGCGCTTTCTCCCGCAGGCCCGACGGGTTGTCCTGACGGCATCCTGCGCGCGGCGCCCGTCCGGGCGGGGGCAGACGGCGGAGCTACCGACCACTTCAAAAATGACAGGGCCTGCGCGCCAGCATTCTCCCTTCCGCTTTCGCCTCCGTCGTCGATCTCCATCCCGGATTGCCTGCGATGCCCGGGCCGTCGAAAATATCGTGCCCATCCGCTGCCTCTCACTGCCGGCAGGGAGCAGCACAGCTGACAGTAGCAGCCAAAATCTGAGACCACCCGTGGCCAGCAGAGAGCACAACAGAGCACCGGAGAGCAGCAGACAAGAACTGAGACCAGCATAGCATCAGCAGCAGAGACTCACATGCAGCAGCAGAGAGCAGCAGAGACCAAGAGAGAGCAGGATGCATTAGCAGAGACCAGCAGAAACCACCACGGAGCGGCAAAAGGCATGAAAGTGCAGTTGAGAGCAGCGGTAAGCAGGATGGAGCGGGAGAGACCAGCTGAGACCACCATACCCCGAGGTGACCAGCTGAGACCAGCTGACACCGTAGCGATTGAGGCTCAGTCCGCATTGGCTTTGCTTCCTGTTGCCAACGCTGCGTGCTTCACTCGCCGTTGCAAACCGCATATCCCGACATTTCAACATGCCGCCCAAGAAGACGGAGGCGGCCTTGCTCGCAGACGTCGCAGAGCATCGTCGGTGGGCGACTGCCAATTTGACGGCCCTGAGAGCACGGGGCGGCATCGGCTTGAAGGCGAAGCTTCAGCAGAGGGCGGGGCTCGAGGAACAGCGGATTTACAAGTGGTACGTGAAGCACGCGGGCGTCGCATCTGATCATCCGACAGTTGCCGCTGCCCTGTCGGAGCTGGACGCCCTGGTCAATGACTCCCTCGGCCCGGCAGCGTCGGCGTGCCCCGACGACGCCCCGCCGGCAAAGCAGAGGCGCCTGACCGAGAGGGGTGGCGAGGCTGCTGCCTGCGCGGCGCCGTTGCAGGGCGAGTCACGGCCTGGCCAGTCGACGCCGGCAGCTCGAGGGGTTGTCCCGACGGCTTGCTCGGCTGGACACGGCCCGGCGGCTGCAGCAGCGGCCAAGGCGTCTCCCGCTTCAACGCCGCCCATCGGCATCGAAGAGACCCCGGCGAAGAGGCCTCGCCTGTTCGCCGACGGGCTCGGTGCGACGCCCGCGCAGACCACCGGCGGCCTGACGCCTGCCACCGCGGAGGCCTTGGCAAGGTCGTGCCGCAAGAGCCCGTGGGAGTCCCCGTTGGTCGACGATTCCGTGAGGCTTGCTCACCCAGGGAATCCCGCGAGAGGTGCCTCGCGGCCCGTCGAGCGGCCGCGCTTGCGCCCGCGGGAAGAGGAGCGCCTCCTGGCGGCAGTGCCGCGGACAGCTGTGAAAGATCTGTACGTGCACGTCCGCGATGAGGCTCTGCGCCTAGGCAACGGAGAGTACCTCCCACAATGGCGCGAGAACAAGCCAAAGTATCGACAGCTGAACTACGCGTGGAATTTGCACCACCACGGCGAGCTCCAGGCGGCCGAGTACGCTCTGTTGGCGCACCAGCCTCACATTATTGGCCCAGAGCTCTTCGGCGCAGTGGAGAAGGTGGAGTGCCCCGCCGCAGTGATCCCTCGAGCAGCAGCGCCTGGCGGTGGACTTTCAAGCCGGCAGGAGTTGACGTGGAAGGACCGCAGGTGGAATCTCGGGCCGACGCGGCGCGAGCCCTGGCCGGGCTGCAGGCGCGGCTGTACCCCGAGTGGCATCACCCAGGCACTCGCGGGCAACACCTCCGCGCCCTGCTGCGCGACGACGACCGGCAGCAGCAGATGCGCGGCCTGCTCGCTCAGCCTGGCATGCGGTTCGCCAGAGCGGCCGTGCTGGGAGCAGCCGCGTCAGCGCCCCGAGACGGCCGCGCGGGCGCCGCTGGCTTCCCCAACCTGACAAACACGTGCTACATCAATGCCGTGGTGCAGTGCTTGTACCACACGCACCCCTTCCGCGCAGACATCGAGGGCATGCAGCCGGGCGCCAGCAACATGGGGGACCGCCTGCGGGACTTGTTCTGTGCGCGCAGCTCCCCTGCTTCCACGGCCGGCGACATTCGCCCGCCGTTGGTGGCCCTTGTCCGCCAGATCTTGCAGCAGCCGCCAGGCTTTGAGTCCGGTCGCCAACAGGACGCGGCGGAGTGCCTGATGCGCGTCCTCGAGCACGCGGACCTCGGAGGAGTGCGGCGCCGCGTCTGCGGGGGCGGCGCAGCCGCGAGCATCGAGGGCATGGTGCACTGCTGCGCGGCCGAGGAGGCCCAGGTGGGTCGCGATGCGCCGCCTGTGCCCATGGCCGCCATGATCCAGGCGTCCCTCACGGGCGAGCAGGCCGTCCGTGAGGCTTCGGAGGCAGTGGTCCTCCGCGTGGAGAGCATGTACGAACAGGATGGCAGACTGTTCGCGGTGGACGCGCGGGCGGACTGGCGGGACACTGTCTTCCCCGTCAGCATTCTCAACGGAGACGCCGTTTCTTACGAGGTGGCGGCCTTCGCGCAGCACCGCGCCGCGCGCGGCGCACCACCTCTGCAGCGGATGCGCGGCGGCCACTACGTCGCCTACGTCAACAAGGGCGGGCGCTGGTTCGAGCTCGACGATGCCGTCGTGACGGAGCTGCCTGGGCCGCCTGACGCGTATCCGTACTTGGTCTTCCTGGCCCGCGCGAGGCCCAGACGGTCGATTCCGATGGGCGGGAAGCGGCGCGACCCTCGTGGGCCTGACGACGCTCTGGAGGCTGCTGCCAGGCTGTCGCGAGTGATGCCTGCGGCGTCGGGAGGGGCCGCTGCTGGCTTAGCATCCGGATCGGGCAGCGGCAGCCGCGGCTTGCCACAGGCTGCAGGCTCAGCGGCTGGTCAAGGCCGGACAGGCAGGGACTGGAGTGGCAGAGACCAGTCTGGTAGAGACGAGACTGGAAAGGACCAGACTGGTAGGAACCGCAGCGGTCAGCCAAGGGGCATTGCTGGAGTGCACCCAGCTGCCAGGGCCGTCTGGAACGCTTCAGCTGCCGCGGACAACAGAGACCACACCCGGGCAGACCCCGAGAACAGCGCGGACAACCCTTTCAAGCGGTACGTGGATAACTGGGATCTGCGACGCACCAGCGCAGATGTGAAATGCCGCACCTGGTCGCAGAGGGCCGAGCCGTCGGGCCCCCAGCCGTGCCGGCTCTGCCAGGGCCGAGACTTCGCGTTCCGCGAAGATTGGAAGAAGCACGTGGACGACGAGCACGGTGGCGTCCAGCGCTACCGCAACGCTCTCTTCTCGTCGCTGTCGCTGAAGCCCTATGTTGTCAAGGGAGAGGAGTGGCGCGCGATCGTGGCCAATTATGCGGAGTTCTACGCCAGGGCCGCCGTGGACTGGGAGAAGCCGACTGAGCGCATGCGTGAGCTCGCTCAGACTCCCGAGGGGTTGTCTGCAGATGAGCGCTGGGCGCCCCGGACCCGCTGTGCGTGCGTCTTCTGCGCCAGGCTGCACTGGTCCGAGGACCTCTCCTTGGAGTTCCTAGCAGGCAAGGACTGCTTCATGAAGAACCCCGAGGCCGTGGCCAAGCTGTTGTCTTGGGAGGTTTACCACAAGCACTGGCCCGACATCCCCGAGGCCGAGCTCCGCGCCTCCGCCGTGCGTCTGCGCATTGGGAACACGGACACATTCCAACTTGTCCTCATGCACAAGCGGCGGGTGACGGATGCGCAGGCGTTGGGCGACGAGCGGGCCCCGGTGTGCGAGGATTGCCTGTGCGCGTTCTCTCCCCGCCACCCGCGCATGTGCAAGTTCACCTTCGCTAACCACTTGTGGCTCGGCAGGAATGACCCGCTCTTCCGCAATGCCAACTTGTCGCACCAGATGCTCCTCGCACTCGCCCGCGTCGTGACGACCAAGGTGGTGCTGCGCCCCGAGAGCTACGACAAGCAGCGCAGCGGCGACGGGCCCACGTGGGACTTCCTCTTCCACCAGACGGGCATGGTGGGCTCCGCAATCCTCTTCGGGAACGCGTCGTGCAAGGAGGCCATGGAGCGTTTCCCTCCGGCTTCCATCAAGGACGCCTTCGCGGTGACTTTCCCGGCAGCCAAGCAGGACGCGGCGAAAGAGCAGCCGCCAGACGGCTCGGAGAATGCAGCGGGACAGTGGCGCCGCGAGGGTCTGGCTGGCGACGCCGCCAGGCAGCAGGACGCCGCCCGGCGCGCCGTCCGGGGCATCGCGCGCCTCAAGGTGAACCGCGCAGAGTTTGACTCGCAGGCGCAAGCGCTGTAGTCCACGAACGTCGTCTACAAAGACAAGGATTACGACGAGGCGCTGGTTGCCCAGTGGTGCCCCAACCCGCTGATTCCTGAGGTGCCCCCGGTGGTGTTGGACAGCGTCGTGGCCGTGCCGTTGGAGGATTCGCCTGGCGCCGTCGTGGCCGCGGGACCAGCCGACGCCACGGCGGCCGGGGCGCAGGATATGGAAGACGCAGACGTTCAGGCGTGCAAGGAATCCCGGTACGTGAGCGCGTTCAGCGAGGAGGACATCACGGGCGCGGCCGCCTCGGCGGGGGCCTTGGAGGCGACGGCGCTGATCAAGCAGCTGGAGGAGCTGGACGCGACAGCGCAGCGCTCCGTGGCCAAGGAGACAGAGCACGCCATCGAGTCAGGCAGCGCGCTGCTGGACGAGGCGGGCAGGGAGCGAGTCTTGCAGCTCTGCGAGTCCGTTCGAAACCGCGCTGCTCGGTTGTCGCGCCCGGAGCGGGAGCTGCGGCTGCAGGAGGACCTCGCGCGCGCCGCGCTGGGCGAACCGGTCAGGCCTCGACAGGCGGGGGGGGCCGAGGCGACCATGGCGAACCTCGAGGTGACGCGCGGCACGGCGCCCCTGTCGCTGTTCGATTGGAAGGTGTGGACGCAGGCGCGCCCGAGCCTGTGGCGCTACGGCGACGCCGGTCACCTGGACCCGAAACGAACGGGGACCTACCCGCAGTTGCTCGCCCACGAGTGGATCACGTGCCTGTGCATGCGGGAGGAGATGGAGTACACTCTGGACACCGACGAGGAGAAGCCGTACCGCGTGCGGGAGAACGACGACGATCCAGAGGTCAACCGGTTCGCGGCGGACTGGGTGTCGTTGCACATGTTCGCCACGTTGCACTTCTTGACGGAGCGCCACCAGTCCGCCTTCGCCTTCCTGAAGAACGGAGGCATGAAGTGGGCCGAGAAAGTGCAGCACCTCACGCCGGATGCCCTGGCGGCGGCCGCCCGCGCTCACGCGGGTGGCGGCGGCGTGGCGGCTTTGGCAAGCAACGCCAACGTGCCCAACGTGGTTCGGGACGCCCTGAACATCATGCAGATGGCCGTCGCGGACGTTGTCGGCACCGACGGACATCGGCGCCTCTGCCGCCACGAGGGGGTTGCCTACATGGCGCTCTTCGGGTGCCCCTTGATCTTCGCCACCCCGAACGTAGCGGACACGAAGCAGCCACTGTTCGTCAGGGTGGAGGGCCAGATCCCGCTCGACGACCGGAGCATTCCAGGCCTGCGCAGCGACGTCATCCCAAAGTACCGAGACATGATGCGGCGCGTCGCCCAGGACCCGGTCGGCCAGACCGTGTGCTTCGAGCTCATCATGCGCCTCTTCTTCATCCACGTCCTCGGCGTCCGCCCCGAGTGCGTGGGCGGCCGCCGGCGCGGCGTTCCTCCCAGGAAACGCTGCTCCTGGGACTGGTGCACCGACGGCGTGGCGGCGTCCTCGACCGCCCCGGGGATCTTTGGGCCCGTGCAAGCTTTCCGCGGAGAGATCGAGGCGCAAGGTCGGGGATCGCTCCATCCGCACATCCTGGTGTGGTTGTGCGCCCTCTCGACGCGGCAGCTCGTGCACGTGCTCCGACGCCATCCTGCCGCTTTCCGAGAGCGCCTGGGCAAGTGGATGAGGGCGTGCGTCATGGCCGTGGAGAGCACCTGCCAGAGTTCCGTAGAGGTGTTGCCGCGGCGTTTCGGGCACGTCGACCAGCGCGTGGACCCGCTGCCATTCTCTGTCATCGAACGAGACCAGTCGCGCTTCGACGGGGGCAGCGAGCTGGACGCGCTCCGCGAAGAGAAGCAGGCGGGCGCGGAGCTGACCGAGGACCAGGAGACCTTCCTGGAGACCGAGGACCGGGACTCCTGGCTCCGGCCCGATCTGCCGTTGCGGGACGCCACAGGCCGCGAGTTGGCGCCGGGGGAGAAGGCACCGCCGCGGCCGTCCTCATACGGCATGCCCATCGATGCTTTCGCCGTGGGGAAATGCCCCGCGTACCGGCGGCGCGGCCTCGTGCAGCAAGACACCGGCGCGGGCGAGCCGGCGGCCCGCGGGGTTGTCCCAACGGTCTGCTCGGACGCGCCCGCGGCTCAGTCGGGGCAGCAAGGACTCGGCCAGACGACACTCGCCGCGGACGAGGAGGCGCCGCCCCCGCCGCCGCCCCCGCCAGGAACGGAAGAGAATCGTGAGGTCTGGGAGCGCCTCTTCTCGAGGGACGTCCGGGAGCTCGCCAAGGAGACGATGACGCACGTGTGCGGAGAGAGCTGCTACAAGTACTCGGGCAACAAGACCACGAAGATCTGCCGCCACGGCTTCTACTACATCGTCACGCTTGCGGATTGGCGCAGGCGCAGGCGAGGGAAGCCTCTGCGGAACGCCATGTTCGTGGTGCGATCCTCGACGCACGGCATGCAGGGTCGTCTGTTGCACTTCCAGCTCCACCCGTCTGAGTGCATTACCAACTACGCCGGCGCCGCGGCTGGACGCTTCAACCTGGATGCGCAGGACCTCCGACGAGTCAGCGACCCCAAAGCGTGGTTGGACGAGGGCGAGGTGCTCCCGCACGTCGGCTCGCAACCCAAGCTGGGGTACATGGGCACGTACGAGCTGGGCGATGCCGACGCTTACGTCAACCGCCCGGAGGTTCCGGAGAAGCCGCTCGCGTGGACGGACGACTGCTCGCCGGAGGAGTGGCGCGACATTATGCTGCAGTGCCAGACGGAGGACGCGGAGGGCGAGGACGCGGATGACGTGGACGCCGCGGACACCTTCGCGGACCAGCTGGAACTGGATGCCCAGGCAGCGTTCAGCGACGGCCTGAACACGGGCTTCTACATCAACTCCTACACGACGAAGCAGTGCCCCAGCATGGAGGGCGTCCTCGTGGAGATGCGGCGCGGCCTGGAGCGGCTGCAGGCGCAGCGACAGGCGCAGCAGGACAAGATGAAGCTGGAGCTGCAGCAGCGAGGAGACGACCCCGAGAAGACTCTGTCCGCCGCCGACCGGAGAGCGCTCGGGGGTAAGTCCAAGTTCGGGGAGACGCTGGATCTGGTGAAGAATCTGTCCGCATCGTACCGCCGATGCTACTGGAAGAGCGGGCCAGAGATGCTGTTCCCGATCTTCTACGGCCACCTCACCTACGCGTCCCACCGCTGCTGGACGATCTTCATCAAGAAGGGCGTCTTCCTGGCGGCGGAGGCGTGGCGACGCGAGTACGGGCGCTCTCTCCGGCACAAGGCCAAGCAGGACGGGGGCCGCGCCCCGGTGCAGTGCCTCGGGCGCGGCGTCGACCCGTACACTCTCGAGGGGTGGCGCGAGGAAAAGGACGACGACGGGCAGGCGGTGTACGTGAGCCCGGAAGGCCAGCGCTTCCCGGATATCCTGACGGCCTACGAGCACGACGTCGCGACCAAGGCGGCGCGCGACGCGCCCGATCATCGCCAGGTGATGTCGTTCCTGGCGAAGTTCATGCAGGACATGGGCTGCGAGAGCGAGGAGGCCCCGAAGACGGGGGACGGCTTCCGCATCGTGAGGACCACGAGCACTCTGGACGACTGGCTGCACCGCGGCGACGACCCGGTCTTCAAGCACATGAGTTTGCAGGTGTACGCCATGTGGGTCTACCGCTGCGAGAAGCCCGACGGCCTGTGGCGAGACAAGACCCGCGCGCATCACCTGGACTTCGACTTCGCGCCGCACTACGCGCTGTACGCGACCCACAAGCAGCGCCTGGCCCCCGAGCTCCGCGTGCCCCTCTTCGAGGGCTTCACCATGCCGACGATGAACAAAGACTGCGAGACAGCATGCTTGTACAAGCAGTTGCTCCTGAGGCCGTTGGAGGTGGAGAACTCGGAGACGCCGGAGGACGAGCGCATGCTGCGGGCGTTCGCGCCCCTGATGGAGGCCCCCGGCGCGCCCCGTGACATGAATGTGCGCGGGTCAACCTGTTTCACGCGATCTTGGGCGCACTACGAGGCTCAGGCGGACGCGGAGGCCCGCGTCGCCGCGGCCCGCTTCCTCGCGCGGCACGAGTGGCCCTCGATCTGGGAGACACAGGAGGTGCAGGGGGAATTCTTCGCGCTGCACCAGGCGCGAGCGGAGGGTAAGGACGCGGAGGGCGACTCGCTGGACCCCGCCCACTGCCCCGACAGAGAGAAACCCAGGGCGACGGTGCACCAGCACGTCTCCATGATAGCCATGCAGGTGGCGCCCAACCTCGAGGGAATCGCCCTGGCGCGCGAGGAGAAGAAACCCCGGCAGTACCAGAGCGACGCAGCAGTGCAGAGCGCGTACCTCAAGGCGACCACCGGTGGAGGTGCCGGTCAGGACGAGGGCGCCGAGGCGGGCGAGGGCGTGGAGCACCCGGGCGCGCCTCCCAAGCGTGTCGGAGCACACTTCCAGCCGGTCCCGACGTGGGGCATCGACGGGGAGCAGGACATGGCGGACGTGCTGAACTTCGCGCACCGTAAGCGCCTCACGAGGTTGGCCAAGGAGCTCCTCGCGCTCCCGCGCATGTCCGAGGCGGCCCGCGAGGGCGCGGGTGCGCCCGAGCCGACGGAGGCCGCGACTGCTCCCGCGCCCGCGGCCGGGTACCGACCGCTGGTGACCGCGGCGCGCGAGGAGAGACACGCCTGGGGAAACCTGCACGACGAACGCCTCCAGGACAATCGCGACGAGGAAGATGCAGGCGCTCCGGACGGCGAGGACGCGGGCGCAGGCGGCCTGGGCGGCGACCCCGCTGCGGCCAGTTTTGCCAGCAGCGTGTACTCAACGCCCAGCGCGTACATCGCCGCCCTGGTCGCTGGGTTGCCGGAGAACGAGAGACTCACGCGGGGCCAGACGCTCTTCGTCGCCAAGTTCGCCAAGGCCTGCGACGACGCCTGGGAGGACGACGTGCAGAAGAAGCCCTGGAGCGAGAGAAAAGTGACGCACTTGCTCCTGTTGGGCCAGGGCGGCTCGGGGAAGACGCACGTGGTGCAGAAGATCGTCTTCCCAGTGGTGGAGTATTTGTGGCCCTCGTCGGCGCAGGACAAGGGCGCCATGATGGTCGTGGCCTTCTCGAACGCGCAGGCGAAGAACATCTCCACGGAGACGGTGAAGGCCAGAACGCTGCACAACGCCTGTGCCCTGCGAGTCCAGAAGTACATCAACGCGAAGATGAGACCGGGGAGCATGCAGAAGAGATTGCAGTGGTTGTGGGAGCACGTCCGCGTCCTGGTCATCGAGGAGGTGAGCATGGTGGCAGCTGCTCTGTACAACGCTCTGGACCTCCGCGCCTGCCACGGGCGCAGTGACACGCACGACGTGCAGGAGTCCACCTACAAGAGGCCGCACCACCACTTCGGCCGCGTCCCCATCGTGTTGCACCTCGGGGATTTCCTGCAGCTGAAGCCCACCGGCAGCATCGGGCTCCTGACGGACGTGAACGAGCTCCTGGACGACGGGTCGCACAAGTACGCGGAGCCGCCGACGGTGGAGATCCAGCACGCCATCAGGGTATTCTCTCAGATCCCTTGCGTCTTCGAGCTGAAGGGCACGAAGCGCTTCGAGCCGGGGGACCCTCTGATCGCGTTCTTGGGCTGCATGCGCGAGGGCAAGCGCTTCCCACCAGAGGTTTGGTCTGCCTGGGAGAAGACGTTGGCCTCTGACAACCACGGCGTCCTGGACCCTCGGCACCAGCACGAGAACTTTCGGCTCGGCTACGGCATGGACATCTACTGGGAGACGCTGGCGAGGTGGATCAACACGCGCGCTCGTCGCGACGCGCGGCGCCTCGGCGCCCCCCTCGTTTTCCTGCAGGCCGTAGACGAGTGCGGCACGATTCAAGGCGAACCAGACGCAGGCCGGCGCCTCCTGAACGTCCCGAACATGCACAAGACGGGGGACATCCACGGCGTCTTACCGGCACACGTCGGCATGGAGGTCCGGTTCACGGCCGTGCAGGAGGAGCTGAAGAAGAAGTTGGGGCTCGTGCAGGAGCAACGGGCCACCATCGTGTCCTTCGAGTTTCACGCAGACGACGAGCGGGACTACGAGGAGTGCGCGCCGGGCCAGCTCTTCCGCCCCCGCTTCCTACCGCAGGGAATCTGGCTGCATGTGCACGGCTTCCAGGAGTCCCCGATCTACAAGGAGGTCGCCGAGGTGCTGCTGCAGGGCACCGAGGGCGCTGACGACGACGGCGAGGCCCAGGCGCGGGCGAGGAGCTTGCTCATGTTCAGGCCCAGCGAGCAGGAGTTCACGTGGCAGAGCTCGGGGGCGCACACTGTGCGCCGCTCGGGATTCACGCTGACGCACGCGTCCTACCTGACCTCCACGCTGTCGCAGGGCCAGACGCTGCGCAAGGGCGTCACCATCGACTGCGCCAGGGATGAGGACGCTGGCCGCACGGGCATGTCGGACGATATGTGGTGGCTGCACCTCTACGTCATGTTCTCCCGCGCCACGTGCATGCGGAACATGCTGATCCTGCGGCCGCCCGCGCGAGAGTTCCTGGAGCGCGGGCCGCCGGCGTCACTGCGGAAGGCGCTCCAGGAGTTCGACGAGAGAGCGGTGGACTCCAGGGCTGAAGCGGAGCAGCTCGCGGCAGAGCTGGGCTTCGTGCTGCCGCCCGCCTGAGCGCCGCGGCGCGCGCGAGGAGGCCCGCGGGGTTGTCCCAACGGCCTGGCCCGCGGGGTTGTCCCGACGGCCTGCCCTCGCGCTCCGGCGGCCCGCGGGAGTGCCCCGCAGGCATGGCTGGCCCGAAGGGTTGACCCGACGGCTTCGCGATCTGGCCGTCGGCAAACGCGCGCGTTCTGACCGAGGCGGCGACGGCGCCGAGGAAAATCGACTTGCTTCCCCCGACCGGGGGGAAAGGGACGTGCACGTGGAAAAGAGGCAGGAGGAGGATGAGGACGGAAGGGGTATGGGGAGGGCGATGATGAGGAGGAGGTGGAGAGGAGGAGGAGGAGGAGGAGGAGGAGGAGAAGGAGGGGGGGGGAAATAGAAGAAGAGGAAAAGATGGCAGAGGAGAGGGCGATACGAGGGTGTTTGCCATGGCCGGGAGGAAAGGGATAAGGGAAAGCTAAACAGATTATCATGCGGGGTCCTTCCGTCGGAGTAATTAACCAGGCCCCTCAGGGATCTGGGGCCTTCTGGACCTCCTGAGGGTCCTGGAGGCCTCTCGGAGGCTTCATGGGGCGTCCTGCTCCCACTCTTGGGCCCATCTTGGGCCTTTCCTGGAGTGCTCCAGCCTCGGACCCTCGAACACGCAAGAAAACGAAAAACTTCGAACAAATGATGAAAGTCAGCGATTTGGGTGTCTTTGGGGCGGCGACCTTTCCCCGACTTCGAGTGAATGAAGATGGGTAGGATGTCGGATGGATAAGGAAGTGTCGAGAAAGAGGATAGGGAGTAGGAGTCCCAACTTGGGGGGAAAACAAAAGAAACTGGAATTCCATGTTTAAAAAGGTCCTCGGTATTTGAGCGCTGGAAGCGGGAAAACGTGAGAAGGCGAAAAACGTAACAACAAACAACGCAATTCAACGATTTTACACTTCGAGCTCTCTCGGGACGGCTCTCGAAGCTCTCTTGGGCTATTTTGAAGCCTCGACGGGCTTTTGGGGGGCCTCTCAAGGGTCTGGGGTGCGTTGGGGGCCTCTGGGGGGTCCTGGAGGCCTCTCGGAGGTCTCCGGAAGCCTCCTGCTCCCGCGTTTGGGCCCATCTTGGGCCTGTTCTGAGGTGGTCTGGGGCTGCCCTGGGCGCCTCTTCGGCAGTCTTGGAGCCTTCTTGGCCTGTAGTGGGGCTGTCTCGGGCGCCTCTGAGGCGGTTTGGGGGCGGCATTGGGGGCCTCTTCGGCCGTCTTGGAGGGTTGGAAGCATGAAATGGTGAGAAGGCCAAAACTTTATATACAAAAAACGACAAATAACGATTTGGAGGTTCTCCGGGCGCTCTCGGGGGGCCTCTTGGAACTCTCTTGAAGTCTGTTGGAGGCTCTTTGGGAGCCTTGAGCGCCGTCCGAAGGCTATGTTGGGTTGTTTCGTAGCGTCCTGGGCCGTTCTTTTACGTTCTGGGGCCTCCTTGGGGTCGTCTCGGGCTGTCCTCGGGCGTTTTGGGGGCTCCCCCAGAGGCCGGGAAGCACGGCGCCAGGAGCGTTCCGCAGATGTTCTGGAAGCTTCTTGGGTTCCTTCTTGGGGCATCTGAGGGACTCCCTGAGCCACCCTGCTTCCAACCCAGGTCTCCCTGAACGACCAGGTCACGATTTGGAATGATTCGGGGGCCATCGTGGGGTGATCTTGGGCCATCATTTTTTTTTCGGCGAGACTCGATCGTGTCAGAGGCCAATCGCCTGCAGACAGCGAGGGGGCGGAGAAGAGCACTGCACACCAGCTGCGTCGAACAGTTGTCATTCTGCATGAGCGTTCAAGGGCCGAACGCTTGCAGACAGGGGGGGGCTGTGGAAAAGAGTGCGGCACGCCAATACGGGCCGAAAAGCATACATTCATGACGTGCCAGCAGTGACTGTGCCAGCGCTGCAAGAACCACAGTGGAAATTCAAACATAATACATCCAGAATCACACTAGCAATTTAGTCATGATGTATACACTTATAATCGGCGAATAAATGTTCCGCCGCCGGCGTCGTCGAGGAGGAAGAGGAGAAGGGGTGAGAAAGAGGACGAGGAGGAGGGACGAAGGAGGGAAGAGAGAGACACGCAGAGCTAGACGCTGTCGATCTCCATGGGAAGAATGATGCGCAAAGCTAAAGAGTTACCAAACGTCGAAGAAGCCAGAGCGTTCCAAAATCGACAACGGTTGAACTTGATTCTGACAGTTGCCGACATCGCTATCCCACGGCGCGAACCTTCACGCACTTCCGCCGGCGCGGGCCGGGGGCTCGTTTCGACATCTGCGCAATTCTGGAGAGCCGCTGGGGTCAGGGGCGTCCTCAGAGCTTCTGGGTCCCCTGGATTCAAGTCGATCGAAGCCCGCAGTGGCACGCCCGGCTTGCGCCGCGCTGGTCCCTGGAAGCGGCGCAGCGCGTGTCTGCGGAAGACAGCGTTGGCAGCAGCGAAGATGACCGCAGCCCCGGGTCGGTGTGCTCACCGCGCCGCAGCAACAAACGCCGCCGTCGGCGCGGTGGCACATCCAGGCGCATCAGGCCCCACATGGCGCTGAGCGGCGCTCCTCAATAAGTGAGTGTGAAAGCAGGGCGGCAGGCACAAGGGAACATCCTCGCGCACAGACCCGATTGTACCATTTCCCGCACAGAACTCGAGAGGCCGGAACCGTCGCGGGGGGCGTGCGATTCCGTTTCCTTGATCTGCTCGTGAAGCGCCGCCATGCAAGACGTCGATGCCGCCTCCCAGCCTGACCTTCGCGCGAGCCTGATCGCAGGAGTCTGGAACAAACATATGCAGGACGTAGACCACCCGGGAGCACTGGTGCGAGGTATTCGTTACTTTTATGAGGGCTCTTCGTCGCCCTCCGTCTCAGAGGTTTCCGGGGATCATGGGCATGTTGCCATCGCCCCGGACATGGTATCGCACGCGGAGCTTGAGGCCGGGAACGCTCCTATGGCGCAGCTCACGATCGAAGTCTCGCTTGAGCACAAGAAGGAGTTCTTGCAGAAGAAGTGCGCGTGGGACGCCGACGTAAGAGGCCTGCGCAGCTGTGCAGAGCGCGCGATCCCAGTGCTTGCCATGCTCCAAGGAAGACCGCCCTCGAAGCGCTTCGGCACGACGGATCGACTGCTGGGCTTCTTCCGATGTACAAATGCAAGCTTTGGCGAATTGACCTGTCGACTCACCGGAACAGCCCGCCTTGACGAGCTCATCGAGCGCAGCGAGTTCTTGAGCAATGACTTCAAGCCCCGCGTCGGCCCGGCCGTTCCTCCGTCTGCGACACTTGCGAGTCCGCCACAGAGGTGCCGCAGCCGAGAGCGGCGCCGCGAGTTGCCCAGCTTCACCCCCGTCGGTGCTCTGATGGGCCCCGTGCAAAAGATGCCCATGACCGGCGCGCGCTGCAAAGATTTCTGGATCAGCACGATCGACCGGGCCTCGCACAGTGTGTCCGTGAACGCCTTCTGCATCAGTGATACTGACATCCTGAGCGTCCTGAGACGCGCCACCCGCCGCGGGGCGCGCGTACGCCTTCGGTGCGACAAACGTCAGCAGGAGAGGACGAGCTCGGCCCTCGAGGAGGATCACTGCGCGTCGCTGGAAGTCCACCTCATCATCGTCTCCGAAGGCGACGCTCACATCATCATGCACAAAAAAGAGCTCCTGACGGATCCGTCCGGCGAGCATCCGGTCGCTGTCATCGGGGGCTACAATCCGACGTTCGCCGCGCGCCTCAACCAGGAGAGCTGCATCCTCATAGAGGAGCCCGAAAAGGTGCGCGCACTGGCAGAGCGCTTCGATTCGGACTGGGCGGCGGAAGAGGCTGCGGCGGCTGCCTGGGCGGCTCTTGCGGCGTCGCCCTCCGCCGACACTTGTGCGTGACATGCGCGCGGCAGAACACTGCGCGGGCTTGCAGACCGCGCCCGAACAGCTCGGTGGAAGAAAAAAAAAAAAAGCGCGCGCTTGCGACCCGAATCCAATGAGCGCAAACGTGGCGCAGTTTGAGAAGCGTTTTCCTCGCCTGCCTGCGCGCGGTTCGAGGAGCCATCGCGTCCCGAGCGCCCGCCCACTTGCCCGCGCTCGCCCCGCGCGGATGGAGCAGATAGTTTTGGCCGCGGCGCAGCGTCGCGCTCGTGCCCGCCGCGCGAGCGTATTCTCGGTTCCTGAAATCGTGCAGGCTCTGCGCCGCCGCAGCACTCCTCTGTCGACCGTCCGGGGCGCCGTGGCGCGTCTGTGCCGGGCAGGCAAAGTTCGTCGCATCGCTCCGGGCAGGTATGTACTGAGCGACCAGCAGGACGTGCAATCCGCCATCCCCACGGCGGTTTTCCCCTGGTGGGGGAGCAAGAGAAAAATGGCGCCCGCGCTTGTGGCGCTGCTCGGCGCCGAAAAGGTGCGTCTCGGAAAGCGCAAGGTCGTCTCGCCCTTTACAGGCTCTGGCGTGGTCGAGGGTGCGCTTCGAAACCCGGGGCGCCGCGTAGAGGCCTCTGACCTGAACGCCAATATCGTGAACATGCACCGAGCCCTGGGTTCGAAGGCCAAGCGCGCTGCAACGGCGCAACATTTCCTCAAGGAGCACCGGCGCCTGGCCCGTGTCGCGCCAGGGGCGCAGCGGCGCGAGACATACAAAACTTCGCTGCGCAACGTGCTGTTGCAATCGCGCCGCACCTGCGGGTGCCCCCTGCGGGCGGCGCAGTTCGCGCTGGCGCAGAAGTGCACCTTCAACGGTGCGTTGACGGCATCCTGCTGCTTGGACGAGAAACTCTTCTGGCGCATCAGCACGAAGCGAGTGCGCGGGCGCATCCAGGCGCACCGCGGGATCGGTCGTGCGCGTTCGCTACGCAACGCCTTCGATGTCATTCGCAGTGTAAAACAGGATGCTCTGCTCTTCGTTGACCCCCCATACCTGCAGGAACACGCATCGGGGCAGCAATGCACGGCGGGGGACTTCACGCTCCGGCACCACGAAGAGCTTGCAAAGAGCCTCGCGGGAAAGGACTACGTGCTCACCCACAGGTACGA